TTAACACAACATGAGATATTTACAGTACTGTGTGTTTCTTCCTCATTTTATTGAGATTTTTTTTTGAGGTTTTTTATTGAGGTAATCACTGATCTATATTCGTGGCATGTTATTAAAATCTACTGCTAACAAACGAGGTCCATTTAAGAAAAGATTTTGTTGCTTTACTTCATACATCAATATCACCTGAATTATATGATACAATACAGTTGTATTACAAAATAGAGCTTGTATTTCAACACCAATGACTTGAGCATATATTAGCTGAGATGAGCGTGTGACCACATCCGTTTGAAGTGATGTGAGATCACGTGCACAACGTAAAGTTGGTTCAAAATTTTACCAGACTAAAATAAATAATCTTTTTTGTGGAATTCCTTTGTACATAATTATAGAATTTTCTAGAATTCTTCCTGTGTTTTAGTTCTTTCGACACAAATAATAAAATCTGTTTTTAATCTGCTCGACAAAAGTGTCCAGGTCTGTGTCTTATTCACAGGGTGACAACTGCAAAGCTGCACAAACTGCAGTCCTCAGCAGCGGCCACTATGGAATGGATTACAAGGCTGACAGCGATGTCTGAGAAGTAGACAGAGCAGCTGCATGGGGATGTGACCAAGTGCAGGTGGTTTAGTATTTAATGAGTTCATTGACAGAAGCAGCACATAATGCTCATCTAAGTGACATTACTGCCTCTGCAGAGGGAGATTATATTCACAAGGCGGTAAATACTTTCATCACTGAGAGAAAGGGTTGCAGATATTAGTACTGGTGTATTAGGGTTCATATTATTATTATTCAGAAAATCCATCATGACTAATAATTTGTATAAACACAGGACAAAGATAATAGTTTGTTCAGAAATAATATAATATCCATGGATATGATTTATACCCATGTTATATCTATTTATTGACGTCTCATTCCTCTAAAAGTGACGTGTTGTCGGGCCGAGCAGACAAAGGCTTGTCATTCTGCGCTTTCTGCCATTTGTGTAGTTTAGTTGTCTTAACCTGATAGCTGTGTCAACTGTTTTGAAATGTGTTGCACTCCTCAACTTCTTAACCAATATATATTTTGTGAAATATCCTATGTATATATGTGTATTTCTTTATAGAATGCCCCCACTTGACTGAGATTACAGTTTGTACAGAAATTAAGTCTTTAAGAAAAAAAATTGCAAAAATATTTCAGAAGTTAAAAATGCCATCCCATATTTTTGATAAATGAATAATGACGGCAATAAAAAAATAAGTGATCTTGACCCACAGGGCGGAGAGATCAGCCCAACAACCTTAGCAGGAAAAAGGAAAAATTCCATTTCCATTACAGTATGCTGCAAGAAGATTATTGGTTTACAGAGACGGTGTGTGTTTTTGTGGTTTTAGATCAACAACAACAGCAGATGAACATCTGCTCTCCTAATTGCCAGCCTGCGGTAGTGACAGTGTGTATGCCGCAAAAAAAGATAAAACCAGATCAAATTTTTACAATCCTAACTAAAGTAAAGAAGGGAGCTATTCCTGACTGGATGCCAGTGTATCCCTGGACTGGAATCGAACCTGCTCCTGGGGCGTGTTCTATAAGCTGTGAGGTAGGGATGTGAAAGATGAGATAGAAGACGAGCAAAGAACACAGGAACACTGGCTGAGACAGGGAGTTCATCAAGACTGGAAAATGCTACACACATAGTCCATACAAAAGTATATGAACAACAGCAACTCATATGAGGATTACGTGTTGTGGTTGCATATCTGTCAGCTCACCAATGTTATCTAATTTAGTCTGTATCAGATCCTGACATGGACCTCACAGGGACCTCCACCCAGGGCTTTCTCACTGGGGTTAACAAAGAAAATTATCTCTCTCTCTCTCTCTCTCTCCCTCTCTAGGACTCATTTGACATCTTCTTGTTGTTTTAGTATTTAATATATTTATATTAGGGGTTGTCAAATAAATACATAAATAAATCATCTGAGTAATGATAGGATAGCTGTAGATTAATCACAGATACACAGGGTTCATTTTGATCATAATTAATCAAGTTAATATAACGTTAAATATAACACCTTCCTCATGTACGGTATACTGCTGGAACAGAAAGAGATTTAATGGTAGATTTATATTATTTCATACTGGTTTTTGTTTGGGACCAATCCAAATGATGGAATTATATATTTTATAATATTTAAAATGTGAATGTAAAATAATGATCTTTGCTTCCACAGCTCAGGTGAAACCACAGCCCCTCAACAATATGAATCTGTCTATCACACCTGCCTGGGTTCGAGCCAAGAGGAGCCATATTCTGAATGGCGCCTCCTGTGGCAGCCTGGATGGGTTGCAAATAAGGGACTTATATTTTGAAAAAGTCATAATATCATGCCATGACGTGATGTCAAAGTTATTGTTCATATTCAGGGCCTAATGGCAGTAGGAAGAAAAGAAAATAATTATTGTCATCTACCCCAATCGCCATGGTGACCAACGCCAAATGCCAGGTTTGAGTCATACCTGCTTTTTCATTCTGACCTTAGCTAGGCTCGGCAATACAGTAATGATGGGGTTAAACCATTTGGATTTGGACTAATTACCCTCTCTGCTGTTTTCACCGGTCACATGACTGACATCAGAGATCCACTTCAAAGGAGTATTAAACATAAACGACAAGAGGATATCCTGCTGAGTTTGACAGCTCTAAAAGGGGAAAAGGGGGAAAAAAACTGCGAGGATTTAAGTGAGAGAAGAACAGTTGTTGAGGGTTAGATCTTCAGAGAATCACATGTAGAATCCCTCAGCTGCTTTGTAGGTGACCTTCTGGAGGTTATTTTTATCAGCAGTCACTGTCATTATTGATGGATTCGCTTTACTGTCTGCTGCTACATATGCAAACCTGATGCTCAGATGAAGGCATTCAAACATGAAGAACTGGACAAGGCCGATTACTGCACATCGGAACAGCAACCAACATTAGAAAGAAAAAAAAAAGGGCTGAATAGATGTTCAGGTTTGCTCTACATACCGGGTGAGAGGAGATGAGGAGTTGCCGTCCTCTCTAAGCCAGTGTGCTTGATCACCTCTCGCTCGCTCTTGATTGCCTGACATTCTTTATTACCAGACACGTAATCCAGTTCCCTTGGCAACGCTGATACAAAGAATCAGGTATCACCTTGAAAGTTTAAGTGAGTCGCTGGCAGTGTCTGTGTTTTCTTTCCCTCTTCTCCCTCCATTCTTTATTTAGAAGATAGCTGATAACGTTTTCGACAGTTACAGAGATGGAGTCATGCAGTTTTAAAATGCTCCACACACTCACAGCAAACCTCCTCTGTTAGATAACATATGCTTACAGGCAATATATTCATTTTCAGCAGTAAATTGTTATAAAGTAAATGTTTACCTACACATGTCTCAGAGTAATAACAGATTTGTCTCGTCATTGAGCCTACTTTGAGTCATCCCTTTGAAAGCTTTTGTAATTCTGACTAATGCTAAGATTTGTCTACAAACATCTCTTCAGTTAAACATAGCATTAGCAGCTATTTAGCCTGTTTAACATTTCATCTCATTTGTTTGTTTTTTTAATAACCTTCATACCAAACCAAAAACAAAACACACCACAGCAGTGATGGCATTCAGAAAATAACATGTCAAAAAGAAACAAGGTGAAGGCTAACGCAGGACAGGCTAATTTTGCCATCATTACATTTTCTTTTTCTCATCTGGGCAAATTTCCTAGTAATCTTTTGGCTTCTCTGAGTATTGACTTAATATTAGCAGCCTTTAAAACTATGTGTTTTCTTTCGGCTAGTTTGGGTAGCTAGTTTTGGGTCTTTGTTCACAATTTTGTTCAACTTTTTTCCCTCATATTTTCTTTTGTTTTTTTTTTATTGTTAGTTCTGCAATACTTTTTGTTATTTTGAAATGACTTTTTTCCCTGAACTAATTGTTAATGAAAAGAGACATAGCATGAAAACAGATTTCCATCTCTGGAGTCTCTGCCTCCTCCATAAGCACCAGTTTTGACAACTAATTAGATGATGATTTAATCCCCTCTGTGAAGTTGTGATTTGAATAATCCCACATGTTAATCCCCAAACTAGTCAGCTCCGCCCATACACAACTCCTACCTGTGCACGGAGCCACCACTTCCTTTACCAGTACATGACTGCTGGGCCATTTTAATGTACAACCCCAGAGCTAAGCACAGCTGCTCATTTAGCACAATGCTAAGTGCAATAATGCTCTATATTATGTAAAGACTTGAGGCACTAGGAGTGGGTTGTCTTCAGTAATACCATGGGGGGAGACAGCCAGGGAGGCCATTAAAATGTCCTTCAATAAAAACTTCTAAGTCTTCATATTACCATAAAACTAATAAACAGAACAACAGACTTTATTGGACGTTACAGCTCTGCATTCACACTTGGTAATTATGCTACACGAGGTCTAGTGTCTTATTATTTCTGATCTCTCAGATCAGACACTGGATTTAAAGTTTTAACTGGAGAAACGCGATTAAAATCCCAAGTAATAACAACTGCTTCTGAGTGTGTAGCCATTACACCAAGGGGGTCCAACTCATTTTGGTTCAGGGGCCTAATTAGCTGTGAAGTGGGCGGGACCAGTACAATAATAACATAATTACCTTAAATAAAAATAAATCCATGTTTGGTTTCCTCTTATTTTCCTGCAAATAGTACAGTACAAGGATATTAGAAAATGTTCATATTCAATGAAATATAATTTGACAAAACATCACAAACATGAAGTGTTTGTGCATTTTTGCGGGCTGCATCTAAGCACCAAGTGGGCCAGTTTTGGCCTGCGGGCCGTATGTTGGACACCCCTTCAATAGACAGTTGAGTTGATGATGTCACAACCCACCGCTGCATTTGCGAAAATTAACCTCATTAGACAGTTGAGTTGATGATGTCACACCCCACCGCTGCATTTGCGAAAATTAACCATGGGAACAAACATGAATTACTGCTATTAACAATATGAACATCATCCCAGAGAGAAAAGTTAATGTCTCTGGTTCAGCCACATGACCTGGGTTACACCACCGTTCATTTACATATAACGCAACCCCCCTCCGCCTGCTGTACTACCTAACAGGAAGTGTCTGTGTCTGCTGAGCTGTCTTGAATCTTTACAGGGCCTCTGTGAAACAGACTACGATAGTGTCTGGTACAGCAAGTCTGTAAATCCTCCTCCTGATTTCACTTTAGCTCCAGCTCTACAACATCAGCCTCTCCAAAAAATCTCTGGCAGGACTTCAGACCTGGCTCCCCACAGCTATGCAGGCTTAAATTGTGGTATCAGCTGATTGCAAGTGGAAACAACGCTCAAGTTGAGCTTTGCATTCATTGGCACAACTAAGAGCAGCCCAAAAAAAACAGAAAAAAGAAAGAAAATCAGCGAAGGAAAATAAAATCTTGTGAAAGTATAACTGTCCACAGAAGAGGGGACACAAAGTGTTATGAAAAAAAATGAAAGAACACAGACTCAGTCGTGGAGCTGCTGCCTGGTGGCCGGCCAGCTGAGCTAACAACCTTAACAACTCACCACTGCCAAACTGTCTCTGGAGCTTCTTCTGGTTCTGGGTCTGACTCTGGCTCAGACATATTCACTTGGACTGCAGTTTTGTTGTTGGGTGGTTTTAATGTCTCAACCGTTGTCATGGTTACGTGGAGCCACGTTCAGGTTTTTTTCTCGAGTGCCGCCCTTCAGCCCTGCAAAAGAATAAAAGGTTGTTAATGTATATTATGTACATATTATCAATGACATACTTGATACTACTATCAACATATAGTACTGTATGCTTAAATCATTTCCAGTATCTCTAAGTACTACAGGGTTTGTGATTTATCCTGTGGGTTTTCATTTTTCTAACAAATCTCTTTCCTACAGCCTCCACACTAATCTGTAACAGTTCAGGTCTGAGGTTGAGGAGACAAAGAGTAACATAAATTAAAAATATAACACAAGACTGACAGGGTGAATGGCTTTGATTTTCCAACGGGAAATTCTTAGTGCTGTACATCCATAAGGAGGAAGTCTACTTTTTTCCCCCTAAACATCAAATGCTGATAAATGAGAATAATTCCTAAAGTGCAACAAAAAATACAAAATTAAATTGTGGTTTGTTAATTCACCTCAACCTAAACTTACAGCACACAGACAAAGACAGGTTTGTTCTGCTTTTTGGTAAATATAAACAACCGTGAAAATCAGTGGAAAATCCTGCAGAATGTTGAGACGAGTCCATGTGAATCAGAGTTTCAGTCTCAGACTTTGGCTGCCACTTTGATAGACACTTCAAACAGACTGCAGGCAGCAAAATGGGTTTTTTTCACTTCCTTAGGAATACATTGTCTCTACACATTCTCTGTTGGCGCATTGAACTGCATTTTTAACAAATTGGGGGGGGAAATCCAGTGTATGTGGTTAAAAAAAAGAAAATGCAATTAAAAGATAAAAGTCAGCATCTGTGATGGTGTGTTTCAGATGAGAGGGATGGTTTTAATAAAAAACTAAACTACATTTGTGTAGAGACATGTCCATAAAAGATGACGATGGGTGACATAAAAAAACTAAACTAAATTTGTGTAGAGACGTGTCCATAAAAGATGACGATGGGTGACAGGATGGATGACTATTATTTTGTAGCAGTGAAAGCTTGGTTCTTAAAGAAACTACAGTCATCAAATACATCTGTTTCCAAATGATTCAAACGTGTGCCACATTGAGGATAAAAAAAAACAACCTAAAATTACAAGAATACATTTGTAAAGTTGCTAAGAAAAAATATATATTTTAAGAAAAAGGTCATGAGTTTTTTTAGATTCAAGTTCTTAAAGTTTGCAAGAATGAATTCAAATGATTTTTTTGAGATACTTTAATGTTGTAACATTAATTTAAAAAGTAAAAGGGTGGGAGGATTGTGATGCCAATGATCCAGAAGATGGAGTATCTCTATATTCATGAAGCCAATACTGAAGTATAACTTCCCAAGATATTCTACGTTTCTCATTTTAACACAGTTACAGTCGACGCTGCGTCTCCATGTGAGATAATTGTCAGAATAAGTAAAGGTTAAGGAACATTATCAAAGTACAATCTTTCATTTTTATTCCAGTTTAAAAGGGTCTACGGACTGTTCTGGAGGTTGCAGCATATCTTACGCTGACATGGGTAGAGGTGACACCCCATAATGCAGTGTTAGTGGGCAGAGAGTCACATGGGTTACAGCCTGAACCTCTTTATTTCCAGCCCAGCTGTCAGTGCAGGGGGAAGGAAACCTTTCATTTCTCTCATGTTTACTCCACATCCATTCTTTCCTCCTTCGTGTGGGAAGCCAGGCATGTTCAGGGCCAAGTGAAGGTTTTCTTGCTCCAGCTCTTATTTACAACCTTCACTAGAGGTGCCATATTAAATAGGATTTCTTTTTTAACAAGAATAAAAAGCAAGTGATTGGTATCCTGGCTCCCACACATTTTCTTCTATGCTGCTGTAGTGGAAAAAAAATAAAATAAAAACATAACTTTTATGCTAGTTGATGCACCAAACCCACTCTTAACTGCTTTTCGCTCTTTGAAATGCTTTCGAGAAAAATTTCAGTTTCAATAACACAGCAGAATACAACGTTTTAACAAAATCTGAAAAGAGGCAAATGTTGGTAGAACGCCTGCCTCTGTAGAAAGAAGCTAGCACTGATTCGTGCCAGGGCGTCACCAGCGTCACCAGCCAGGACCAGCTGACCGGTCAGTTGACCAACAATGTTTCATATCACCAGTGTAGCACACCTACACACATACAGTAAAACATGTATGGAATATATTTTGTGCAGTATTGTATGGTTTTTCTCCTTCAGGGACCGTGATCAGCCACTGCAGAGTTTTTTTCAGCATCTGTAGTAGAGCGACGTCCCTGGATTTATGTCAGAGCTTTGACTTATCGTACGGAACTAAATGCAATAATGTAACCATAATTAAATTAAAGGTTATAATCCATAATAATCAAGGTGATTTTTATACAGAGCTGTCCATAACCTGCCTGTATGTCAGGATTATCATTTCCCTTGTAGCTGACCTTTGGGGGATTGTAATGAGGGATCACAGCGTGTCATTTTAATCACAACAATAACCCTCCTTTATCTGCATCACTGCTGAATGCTTTTCCTGTTCACCGCTGCAGCACGTTATCAGCCCAGTCTGGTGTCTATTCACTGTTTCAGTCGCCCTTCTCCACAAAACATACATATACATTATTCACCCAGGAAATAATTTATTGATTTTACTTTAGGCAGAATATTTCAGCGTTAACCTCAGGTCATCACTAACATTTTTTTTTTCACTTTCTCTGACAGGAGAGAGCCGTCACAGAATGTCCAAACAGTGTTTCATCAGGGTTGGCCAGTAAATAGAACAGGATCTATCTGCAGTGGATCGCAAAGGGAGTGTGGGCAGTACTGAGCAAACAGAATAAAATAAAACAAAATCTAGTCCCGCCCTCATCAGACGAATAATGCTAAATGAACTGTGTGAATTTTCTCTGGTTGAATTCATAGCACACTCACAAAAGTTTAAAAACCATCTTTTCACCCAGAGTTTCTGCTCTTTCCACGTTTATCAGGTATCTGAGTTCTTTAAAGCTGGCATAAGCTCCAATGCTACAGAGAGAAGCAAACTCTCCAACAAGAAGGTAGCATTTGGAGATCAAAATACCCTTGTGTTGATTGGATAGTACTGCAAGTTAAAGAACTTCAAAGATTCTCTTCATGTGGAGATACTTGAGGGCAGAAATTGTAAAAAAAAAAACAATCTACAGTACAGTTAGAAGTGTGCTAGCAGGAGAAAATATCCAACAAAACTGTACAAATAGGTCTGATGAAACTCTGTACCACTGTACGTCTTCAAACGTATGGAGTCCAGCAGTGTCCTTTGTTGATGTAAAGAGGACCAGCTGCTCTGCCTGGTATAATGAGGACTTCATTCCCTCAGCAGCACCAGGCCACGAGAGCACCACTGACCTGAAGCATATATACAGTATATATATATATATATCTCATGCTACTCATGACTCACAAGTCTTTGAGTATCCACACCAAAGCAGAATTCCAAAATACATTGTACTTTTGTCTTGTGGGTTTTGTGGAAACTACTCTTTGCACATATTTGTAATTATCTCAGTTCCGTTTGTTAAACTTGTGACAGATTGAGTGCAGTATAAAGACATTTCATGCATTTCAGTTAGTCTGCAAACACGGAGTGGATTAAATGTGTGAGGCCAAGTGAAAAGGTTGTAAGTGTCAAGCAGATTGGGGTCACAGTTAGGACCTTTTTTTTTTTAGCACACGCCCTTCACCCTCTGTGAAAATACGACTCTAACTCCGGGGGGCCATTTGTCAGGGCAGTATTGATCGGGGCTGTGGGGGGATTGGTGACATGCTCAACATGCTGAAACAAGCATCTTCTCAGCTCCCGGCAGCAATACCAATAACACATATTTCATCTTGATTATTTTCCAATAGGCAGCCACAACCGCAGGCTCCGATGTATGTCAGGTAGTTTTTGCCTAAATGTAATTATCTGTTTGACAAATAAAAACCTCAGATCTAATCATTAGTTGTGTGAGTTTGTTATCGCTGTGAATTCCTCAAACATGAAGATAGGGTAAATCATCTGAGCTTTTTTCCAACAAATTAATTTGAAATACAATCATCACAACTTCAAAAAAGTTGAAATCAAACATGAAAGAAATGCAACGTAAAAAGAGAAAAAGTAAAGATGAAAAAGTCAGATATAGTAGAAGTAAAACACAAAGAAATGATCAACGTAAAGATCATGTTTGTGTCGATTATGTCTGCACCAGGTGGACGGAGCTCCTCCCACAGACAAGTGGGAAAAAGTAGTAACAAACAGAAATGCTGAACGAACCCAGGCCTCGCTGCTCTCAGTGCTAACCGCTACACTGGAACCAACTGCATCAATGGAACACAATAAAAATCCATTAGACTAAATCTAATCGTATACAAATTATGCTGGTAAATATAGCTTAATTCATAATAATTAACTATTGCTCACATTTCCCTCAGCCGCAGCCATTTTAATTTAACTTATAGTTAAAACCTAAATCTTGAATCAGCCATGTATGAATTATATATCCTGACTGTGAATAAAATAAAAATTTTAAAAAGTCTTGTTATCTTCTACCTTTCACGTACACCATATTTCCATTAGACTCATTAGAATCAGTCTCCTTGGTTAATTCATTACATTCTATCGCCCCCTCAAAAGAGGCTAGTGAAGCAGCGGAGATTAGCTCCACGGTTTAATTCACAAACCCACACTATACAGCAGCTTTATGACAATTAGCGGAGAAAAAAAAACTATTTAACAAATTCACATTCATTCAAGTCTTCGTGTAGGTTTGGAAACTATTACATGTAAAAACGGCACATTATTTAGCTTTTAAAACAAATAGGTATAAATCCAGGTTTTTCTTCCAACTGTAGCCAGACTGACGGTGAGTCGGACCAACTGTTTATCCTCCCAGCTCTGGGCAGTGATCAGTTTACGGAGCTCCTCCAAATAAAACAACTGTGATGGGGGGAACAAAAGACCTGCTCGATTTCTGGACTCTGATCATCCTATAGGATTCTCTGAGATGACCTCATTAGTGTAAGCCTCCAAACTAATGACCGGTGTATTTGATCCCATCCCCGCTAAGCTACTTAGCTGTGATTAAAAAGAACGAAGAATTAATCCAATTAATCAGTCCTTGCTAACCAGCTACAAAAAAACTTTAAAAACCACAGGGGTCCTCATTTTACACCGAGTTCTATCACTACGACGCAACATGCTGTACCTTTGTACCTGTGTCGCCCACCTGTGCTCACAGAGCACTGACATCATAATCTAGGACATAAAAACATCAGAAGAGTCTGACTGACGGTTGGGAGCCAGAATGAAAGTTCTCAAGAAAACAACACAAACGAAAGCCAGAATGAACGTCAAGTTCTCAAGAAAACAACACAAACGAAAGACAGTGAATGTAGCACAATCTAATGTGTGGCTAGAACCGGGGAATGTAAACAAAGCAGTCATCCAGATATAGCGCCCCCTGACGACGTATTTGTCCACTTCACTTGCCAACTACTCTCACATACAAAACTGATTTGATGCCAACGTTGGAATGACAGAACAAGACTTTCTTAATAAATTCAGGGGAGCTGGGGACATAACGACGATACGCCATAGGCCGAAGACGTCATCTGCGACGTCATCTGCGACGTCATTGCTGCCCCCCAGCTGCAGTCTGTTCTCCTCCACAGCTTATGGCTAACTGTTGGCCAATAAAAAAATTGCTCTTCTTTTTATTCAATGCAGCGGTTTGGAATTGCCCAGGAACATTTATCTAACAGGCTGAGGGAATATATTTTTAAGAGCTTAAACTGCCACACTTTTTTCTAATTATCAATCAATAACTGATTTAAACTGATTCAAAGCAGCCGGGACATTAATGAGTTCACCACTGGGTCCCACCGATCTTTTTAAAATTATACATGTTTTAGAGAAACTTTATATTGCCTGTACTGAAGACTTGAGCTTCTTTACAAGTTGTTGTTTCCAATACTTGATTCTCCTCAGACATTTATACCAGGAGACGGCCGTGGCCTACAGGCAGGTCAGCCATATAACTTACATCTTTAATGTCAGGATTCCGAGCATGCTTAGCATTTGAACGACACTTCCAGTTCTTCAGTTCAAACTTCAGTTTCCTTTTTGATTTATCGCCCATTCGATTCAGTTAGTATTTTATTTGTAAAAATGTAAAATGAAAGGCCTTACCCAGGTGTCACAGTCCAGCAGCGCTGCAGATTGCACTTGGACTCCATCACATCACACCAGGCATTAATCCCCAGGGTTCGGAGGCTTCAGACTTTCCCTGGAAAGATGAAAGAATAGATGATAAGACGGTCCACAGAGAAATGCAGCCCGTGTCCTGTGAGTGCTGCAGTACTCCGGCTGCCACTTCTCTGAAATCAAATGTTGGTGTTAGAATGACCTGGGAACACGTGAGCTGCAGCAAATCTAGCATAGATAGCAAAGATACACATGCACAGCTGTTATCTTTAGACTTCATGTCCAGTGTTCTTTGATTGGTTAAATCAAATCTCAGTAAAGCCTGTTGACCTTGGTATCCTTCTTTGTTTTATATTAAATGTTGTGTCATTTCTTTATTCCCATCCCCATGACAACCTGTTTGATTGACAGCTCATATCCAATAGCAGCCTATTGAGTGATGTACTTCTGTATGTACCCTTCACCACTGTGCACATGCGTCTGCTTTCTTTCACTGCACAGTAATTATCACTTCTTGGTGAGAATCATGTCCAACGTCTGACTAATTATATTAATTACCTTAACATCTCTAACCAAACGCTCCATGTTTTGGGAACCTAATACATTTTGTGGGCCGTGTCAGTGTGTTGGTTTTGTCAAGCAAACCAAAAAAAACCAATGCATGATTTTCACTGCTGAGAGCAAACAGGCTCAGGGTGAAGAGACACCTGTGTTTTCATCCAGCCAGACAAAAAAAAAAAGACTTTCTGCCATAAATATATTCAAGCTGCAGTTTCATATTTACCTGTTTATTCTGTCTGAGTGTGCAGAGACCAACGGCAAATAGCGTTCACTCAGCCGGCAGTCTGTGGGTCTGCTGATTGGAAGTCTATTGTTGTAGATTTTAAAAGACAGGTTTGTGCTTTATTGTGTTGCGATGAAAACAACATCAACGTAAACATAAACCTAATGTCGTTCATTCTCACAGACCAGGTTTTGTCTTCACTGAGCTGGAGAGGACACATTACTGCTGAACACTGTGATGCAGCTGTCGTTGCTTTTGTTGTTTATCGGACTGACAATCGAATAACTCACAATGAAGTTGGAAAATGACACCAGGTGTCTGGGTCTCTTGGTGGGGGGCCATTAGTGTGATGTAGGAACACTGAAGAAACAAAGGACCGAGTTTACACAACAACGAGACAGGTTTTAGGTCCGTTTGTGACGGATGTAAACATTGATCAGATTGATTTACATACAGGTTGATCTTTATCTTTAGTCTTAGCACCAAGTTCAGTAAGGTTTGTAAATATTGATCCAAACAGAAGAACAAAAACAGTGATTGGCTGCCTGCCACCAACAAGATGTTGTTTGAATTTGGTGTTTGTTTTTCCTCCTAATTTGATCATAAGTTATAAGAAAATATTGAAGAAGACCTACACTGAGGATGTACCGAGAATATAAAGTTTACAGTTTATTATGAGCTAATATGAAAAACGTATTATAACCCTTTCTTGGTATTGATAATTACTGGTAAAAAATATATTTCTTATAAATTGGTTTTCATTTTGTTCTCTCTTTATGATCCTTAAAGTTAATATCTTAGAGTGTAATAAAAAGTCCAATCTGTAGTTTCTTAAATCAGTGGATTCTTTCATTAGAGGCAGAACAAGATCATATTTGTTTTTCTTAAACAGCTGCTCGAGTATTGTTTTATGAGCAAAATTAGCATATGAGCAAAACTCTCACAAAATGGCAACAAGCAGTACTCTCTGTTCCAAAATGTTTTAAAAAGCTGTGGGGGTGAAAGTCAGTGTTACACATACAGTTGTACAAACTTTGTTTGAGACTTACTGCGGAGACACTGTTATATTGTTCCATTAAAACCAATGGAAATGGAGCTTGTGTCTTGGTACTGTATAAACATGTTAGGTGTTGTGTAGTAACATCTATGATGTGGTCCGCTGCTACCCTGCATGGTAACAGGCAGATCAACCTCAGAGCAGATATCAGCAGTGTGTTCGCCTGAACGACATTCATCACCGAGTTTAATTTAATTAAATTGTGACTAAATTAAAACTAGAACATAATTATAGTTCAATACATTTTTTTAATTAATTTTTGTTTGGTGGTGCACCATGGGATTTTTCTAATGTGCACAGAAAAGGACAAACCTTACAGCAGGCACCAGGTGATGCTGTCAGTCATTTCACTGGTTGCAGCTGGTCTTCCCTTATTATTAGCACTTCAGAGAGAAGACTTTGGTAACTGTATATATTTTGATAAGCTTTGTTAAAAGATATTTTGGCAAAATTCTCATCTTTTTGGTTATTATTGCCTCAAAAAGACAGATATAAAAGATTGTTCTTCAGTTGTTTCAATATACAAATATATGACCTTGATATGACCTTTAGATGTTGGCTTGATGTGTATTGCTGTGACTGGAGTTTAAACAAATAACACTATTGGTTGACAATTAACCAGACCTTTTTTAAATGGCATGAAACTCATTCTGGTTTTCACTACCTTCGTCAAATTTGACTTCACATTTCTCACCGGCATTGAAGTGTGCATCATGTGAATTTCATGAGACTATAAAAATATTCCAAAAGCATTTCCCTTGTTAATTTCTGACCCTAGTGTTGACCTTCAGCTGACAGTGAATTCAATTATAGAACGGAGAGAAAGAGAAAGACATTTTTCAGCATCATAGGAGAGAATAATGAGAATGTGGCCATCTGCCAGTGATCTCGAGCTGTACACAAAATCAATATCATGAGGCGAAAAGCCACCGAACACAACAAGAAAACACTGTGAAAAGATGTTTGCCTGTAGCAGTTGTGTGGTCAGCAACGCTCAAGAAAGAGCAAAGAACAGTTGAAGTCTCTGTCAGTGGAATCAAAAGGATTAAATCATTTTAGCATTTCAGTGGCACAACGGAATTCATTATTTGTTGTTGACAGGAAAACCAGTTCAATTAGGACTTGGCTCGTGAATTTCTCTCTTGACCCAAACGTCGGTACATTACAGTGCAGTGATGTAGCGTCAAGGCTAATGAGGCCAATTTTCAAATATTATAAAACAATGCAGAGTAGTTTGTTCTCCTCATTCATTCTCGCTCTCAGTTTTTCTCTGGTTGCACTGCTTCCAGTTGTGGATACTCGGGTTTTTTTGTCCAATCAGTTTTCAGTCTTATGTGTTGCCAGGGTGAAACAAATCTGCCCTCCAGTATCAGTAGTGCAGGTGTTTCTTACTAGCTAGGATATGACGATCCGTTCTGGTGTTTTCTATTGATATAAAATATGGATTGATTCCGGTAGGATGCCACTGAAGAGCTAGATGAGAAATTCACGGTACGTCACTGGTACAGAGGTTACATGGCCTCCTCTTCTGTGCGTGGGTTTTTCCAGTTACTCCTGTTTCCTCCTACAGTCCAAAACCATGAAAACTGGGGATTTAAGTTAATTTGATTATGAATGCACCATGTAACAGTGATTTTCTCTGAATAAATGGTTGTTTGTCTGAATGTGTCGCCCTGTGATTGACTGGCAAACTGTCCAGACTGAACCTGGCCCACGCTCACTGACTGCTGGGATTGGCTCCAGGTTCCGTCATCAAGCTCAAATGGATTAAGTGGCTGAAGATGAATGAAAGACTGTTGGAGCTGAGTGGGTGAACAAAGACAGATCACCTTAAAGGTTTTCCACCTCCACTTTTTTCACTCTCAATGACAACATGCATTTCTCCCAGGCTGCGTGTCAGGACCTTCACCAGTGGTGTAGGATAAACTAATGACTGAGGAGGAGGAGACAGGTGTCCCTGAAGTCTGAACTCAGCACCAGGTTGTTCATTACATTGTTAATAATATCTTAAAAAAATATTTTCATGGTCTTTTCTTGCATGCCACATCATTTCACTGGCAGTTTTATTAAATGTAATTATACTGTGTGTTTTTGGTGTATTTTTTCTCAATTTTTAGTTTCTATATTTAATCTATATTTTTAACCTTTCAGTCATTAAATGTTTTAATTTAGACTACTTTTCACTATTCCTCTAGTATTAGGCTTCACTTCATCCCTTTTGGTATTGACTGCAAAACTTTAATTTTTTCTCCATTCCTTTTGGCATCTATTGTTGACATTTTAAATAATTACCTTTTTGTTTTCTTGCAGATAATTTGTTTTTTAAGTTTTTGGCATCTGCTACCTTTTTTTAATTTAACATTCATTAAATGTCTACATAAGGATTAGCAATTGAGTTAAAATGCTAATTAATTTGATGTGGTTGTATGCCTTAAATGGTCATTAAGTGCAAATAAAGTATTTACCTATAAGAAGGAAATAATAAATAGACAAGAAAATGTGCATCCAACTCAAAATCAACCACTCACTTGAGCCATTAGTCCAAAGCCATTTTCTAAAACTGAAAAGAACATTTATTTGACGATAAGACCTTGTGGAGGCTCATGAGTCAGAGAAACAAACTAAAAAACAAATTGAAAAAGTGGAAAATAAAACTACGGAACCACATAAAGAAAGGTTTCGCTTGAAATGGGGAAAAGAAACAACAAAGGACGTCAGAAAAACATCCAGTAAACCTATTTGGAGTATAATGTGGAATTATGGGATATAATACTGCAGATCAGAGGTTTCACTGAGGAAACAGAGCAGAGGTTCAAAAACTGGACAAATGTATTCTGTCGACTTCGGTCTTCTCATTGTTGACTAATTCATATTCACACCAAGGAAGGTTCTGATAAGTTCTGATTACAGAAGGAAAAAACTCAGACCAAACAAAAGGAAGGATGCAGTCGTCTGACTAACAAAGCTGTGAGAGTCCAAAATGGTTCAGTGGATGAATTTAAACAATATTTTCCAAGAAGGACATTACAGTGTGCTATTACGATAAGTAATGTGTGAAATCAATTACTGTCTTAACATTAAGCAAAGACAGTGAAGTACACGTGTAAACAGTGTGATTTAATTATCATTTAAATGGCATCTTGTGACCTGCAAACCTCTTTATTGTTTCTGTTGTGCTTTAAAGTGTTGGGCCGACAACTGCTGTTAGTTTGACACTCGGAAAAATAAATACAGCTAAGGATCAGAGCCAGGATCGGGTTTAAGCAAAGTTCTGTAGGAAAGCTTTCCAAAAATCAGGTTATAACAGAGAGAAAATTCCACAGTAAATAATACATCTGTGGCCTGACAGTGGAGGCAGCAGGCGTGTGTGTTTGTCAGGTGAATGTATTCAGGTCTTAAAAGATTGAGTGACTGTGGGCTGTAAAAACAGGTATATTTCTTTGTTTATATTTCTAAAGTTTATAACTTTAAAAAAAAAAAAAAAACAGGTTCTTATCACGTTGGTTCCACGTGGAGAGTGCTGCTCTATGTACGAAATGGCAGTGGCAGCAAAAAACCCAAGGTAAGTGTCCAAAAAAAGCAAACGAGGCAGTGAAGAACAATCTAGGTAACTAGGAGCCAAACACAAGAACTGCTTTGACGTGCAGACTAAGCAAAAGAGCGCGAGCCGCGCAGGACATTACCTCACCAGTTAGAAGGGACACTCTGGCACTGAATCCTCGTGGAGCTGGAGCGTAAGTACTGCATTTCCTGATTGAAGGCGACGCCCACTGGTGCTCTGGCTCATCAGCTCTGGATTCAGCTGCAGGGAAAAAGCACAAACACACAAAAATCAGCAGGTCAGAGACAAAAAACAGACAATAACAAAAGCCCACTATGATTGGTTAAATATATATTTAACACGTCAGACGTCTGTTTTTTACTGCCAAATGTCTATACACATACAGTATATTTGAACTAACTTGCAGATTTCTTCATCTATTTCCATGTTTTGAGTTGGACTCTAAGCTAACTTAAAGCTATGTTTTTGGACTCTATAGCCCCTTTTCAGGTATTTGCTTTATTTTTATTGGTTGTTGGCCAAAATTGTAGAATGAAACAAAAAAAAAAAACTCAACTACACCCCGTCTGATCAGATACTTAAGCCCAAATACTAAACCTAAATTTGCATGAGATGTAAACAGGGACACTATCGCCAACGGGATGCTGGAGGACAAAGGACAAGGTGTCGGACAGATATCAGTATTGACAATTACTCCATGTTGCAGAATCGGAATATTGTATTGATAAATTCTTCATCATCGTCTTACTGATAACATTTTGTATTGTGATTGTTTTGTTTTCCGGATGCATCTACTGTAAAACCACCTGGTGAAAATACATTGTCAAAAAAAAAAAAAAAAATTGGCAGTGAAGAAATTAAAACAAAAAGCAATGCCAAGGCATCAGCCTCATCCCTGCTTCATCCTTGCCACAGTTCTCTATCCACTGCAAACATGTAAATTATATTTCCCCACTATCGGCCCAACTAAGTGTACGCCTCGTGAATCTCATTTGATTCCCACTGCTGATAGTAGGTGCTTGCAATTTATGCCAGTGCACATTCAAGTAGACAGAGATTAAAAAAGGTTGGAGCTGGAGCTCTCCTTTCTCTCAGATCTGTGATTTTATCAGACCAGAGACAGGACTCCTCTCAGAGGCTGCCTGACTTTCCCACTGGATGGCTGGGGTCACAATCCATTCCCTCAGATTGAATGTGAAGCATGTGAAGCCAGCATTTAAAACTGTGGCTCCAGAAAGCATTAACATTCATTTACAACATTATTATGCAGAGCAAATCTACTTTTCATTTTCAGCAAATTGACTGGAAAATGCTGTGGAACTTATTAATTTTCTCTCCACAAATTAAAAAGCACTTCTGTGGACAGGCAAACAAACACACATACTGTGTACTGGGGCTCCTCGACACACAGTGTGTCAGGGGTTTGGTTTCCAGCTGCGACTTAACTCGAAACTTTCATAGAATTACATATTATGTAGATTTTGCAAAGTATGTATGAAACGAAACCTGTTGGTCAGAAAACTGTGGCTTTTATTTGAAGTTAGTCACAGCAAACAAATTCACTGCTGCTGAATTCTCTACTGTCCTCCACCATTGGTCCGACAAGTAATGCCATCAGAAGATGACGGCATCGAACTTATGCAAGTGAGCCATAATGTAGGGCAAAAAGTTTCAAAAAAGTGGTGTACCACCGTCTTCCTCAGTGGAATGAGGGAACAAGTTGTTTCTCTACAGCAGAATCATCCCTGACAAGGTGTACCACGGTGTACCACCGTCTTCCTCGGTGGAATGAGGGAACAAGTCGTTTCTCTACAGCAGAATCATCCCTGACACATCTGTAAAACAGTGGAAGGACGGAGCCTGAGTGCTGCGCCCCTCAGTTTCCTCAATTCCTAACCAGACAGGAAGTGTGTGTGGTATATGTCCACAATTTTCTCCTCGTCTTTTTTACGCTGATGCAGGGGTTGTGTTCCTGCTCCATCCCTCCACTGTGTCACAGTAATCCTCATTACCCCGACGCAGTGACATCTGCTGAGATTTCTACACTTCACGTTTTAACCATCGACCTAGAAACCTTGGTTTTTTCTATGAGGGAACAGATTTTCACATACACATCACATCACAGCGTTGTTGTTTAGTGGTACAATCCAACCTGAGAGTAACTTCACAATATCAACAACAGTGCTGTTTGCTGACTCTCCACAGTGTCCTACACAAAAAGCACCGGCTAGCATGTGACATGAGCCGTGACATTATCTCTCCAGAGTCCTGAAGTGTCCCAGCTCTGCCTAGTGCACTACTCTGTGTGTTTACTCCTCTCCTGGGCCTCCTCCACACCTGCCTCACATGAGTAGAGCAGCAATACAATGATATGTAAAAGCCTCTGAGTGAATGTCCCTCAGCACCCTCATGTTGCACCTGTTTTAACAGAAGAGGGAAAGTGATTCAGCTCGTGCTGAAGGAGTTGGTGATGTTGGAAAAGGAAACATTAGTCAGAAACAATACAAAAAAATGTTCCTGTAAAGTCACAACCATTTTCATAAAATTATAAAAATTATAAAAATTATAAAAATTATAAAAATTATAAAAATTATAGTTTTATAATATATTATAATTATAAAATTAAAACTATATTGTTGTTTAAAAAACAAACTTTTTTTAGCCCCAGTGTAGGATCTTTTCGTTTTTTTAGCACTGATCATCCTAATTTCAATATTCATCAGTGTAAATCAAAAATACTTTCTTGTGTTTAAATCATATTGTATATTGTTTTACATTCCTGTATTAAAACAATATCTGACCAGAAAAACGAAGGTTTGGTTGTCAGCCAACACCACTCTGTGATTTATCGTTTTCCTGTGTCGTGTATATTTTAGGCAATGCTTCACATGTAAATGGAGATTTTTTACTGAATCCTGTGAAACGAGGCGACTTAATCTTCACCTTTCTCTTTGTTTTTTGTGTTATGGCAGAGTCTCAGAAGTCTTTTCGCTGCCTCGACAGTAGATAAAGTGAGAATTTCATTCCTTAAACGTGGGTGAAAAGAGATTTTGTGAAAAGCAGTCTTACTGGGTTTTATGCAAATGCAAATCTTAGACAGCACTCACAAAGGTATCATTACACATTTATTTCAACATAAACAAGGCCAAAGATGTAGAAAACTGATGTTAAACATTTGCCTAATTACACATAATAAGGCTTATGGCTGATGCTGCTGCTGCTGCGGCGGCGGCGGAGGTAATTTGTAACCGTAAAATATGCAGAAAATGTTCATTACCGACTTAGTCACAAAACAATAACATCTGTGAAATCTACAGTGAGGCTCATTGTTTTGTTAACAAACCACAACTTTGACATGAAAAACAATCTCACACACACACACACACAGTGTGTTATGAAAGTGATGAAGAGCTACATGTGCTGTGTTTCATTTGACTAAATCTCTGTCCCATGTCCCTCCAGCGGTGACAGGGTTTTTAAAGAAGGGGGCGCTAAAGTCATTCACCTGATTTTAAGCCATGGTTTGAACACAATTTTGTAATAATACAGCTTGGGGTTTGAACAACCAGTTAAGACGTGGGGAGGTCATCAACACACACACACACACACACACGTACGGGCATTCTGTGTCTTTGAGGACACACATCTCTGTCGACAGACACAGCTGCATGCAGTCCTTTTTTTTCAGCACCTTCTCACTAACAACTACATAATGAGCATTTTTTTTTGATGGCTCTAAATATGGAAGTTCACGTCGGGTAACTGCACAGTTACTCACCTCATTATAAACAATAAATGGAGCAGATTACACCAGGAATGAACCTATACAGCAGTTGACCAGTGCTGGCCACCACAGTTTTACTAACCAATTATTTTTCACACAGGACACAATCATTATTCAAGAGACTAAAATGATTTTTAAGCCCAGTGTTACTTCAGTGTTCCATTGGAAAAGGAAGTTTACGGGGAAACATTTGAATATAATAACAGTAAGTTTATAAAATGTAAACAAAAAATGGTTGGCTTCATTAAAAATCCAATAATAGCAGCAGATCAGCATTGATCAAAATGTGATTTTTTAAGTGCCGTCCAACTCCTACATATTTTAATCTACTGTATTTAATCACCAGGTAGCCATGGATTAGCATTAGCAGTTAGGGTAGATGTATGTTTCACAACTTTTTTTTGCATTTTAATTTGCTTTTAAGAAGGCACACTAACCGCTACATTAAAACAAGTACTGAAATTCTACATAAGGTAAAATGTGTAATAGTTTTTGTCTGAATAATTTCACATTTTAAAGTGACAACA